AGCTTAGCATGTCTTCCTGGTCAATCAAACTACAGTTTAGAGGAGGTAAATTTCCTGTTGAGAGTGCAAAGCGGGGGATCTATGCCTGTCGTTCTGTCTTTGTCATCACCTCTGTCTGTGAAATAAGATAGAAGAGCAGTAAATTTGGAAGGTCGTGATCTCACGCTGACACAGGCAGACTCACACCCCGCCCCCGCTCCCCTTCCCCAAATGCAAGAAGGAGATGCAAGCATGGGTGGGCAGAGAGAGACCCCCAAAGCCATGGCGGGGGTGGAAGGCTGGCTGTTGGGGGGGGTTGGCTTCCCCCCCACTTCTTCTTTGCATGAAAGCTCCTTTACAAGATCATCACCCTGGGAGGAGGCTACCTTTCTTCTGCCCCCCTCCTCTGGCCTGGCTTGCTACTCTTCTTAATCTCCCCCCCCAAAAAAAAGAGGAAAGACCATAACCACAGGAGCGCGCGCGCGCACAGACACACACAGGTGTCAAACAAACCGTGATGGGAGAAAAATTTCTTGAACAGATGGGGGGGGGGCTTTTAGAAAAAAACTGCTGCCATCATTAGAACAGGGAGTAGGAGGGAAATCCATGCTTCTCCTGGACTCCAGGGAACTTCTGCCTCCCCTGCCGGGGGGGGGGGGGAGCTTACCTGCTGCTGCTGCTGCTTCCTCCTCATGCTCTGCGTTGAGCTGATAAGGACCTAAAGTGTGGGTAAAGGAAAAGGTGGACTCAATTCGAGCGCGCCGTCGCCTGCAGCCCGGGAACCTCCCTGAAGAGCCCCCCCCATTCTATCACCCTGATGGGTTTTTTTTTAAACTTTATGATGGTTTCCTGGGAGCATTTTCACAGCAATGTGGCAGGATACAAATGGAATGAACAGACCAAGGTTTCTGAGCATCTCAAAGGAGGAAACAGACAGATACTGGCAGCATCCATTTCTCAAAAGCTGTCTCTCAGCTTTTCACTGAGAGGTTCAGTGATTTAAAAAGGAGGAAGAGAAGCCCCCCGCCCCCCATCTGCCTCCTCACCGCCTTCCTTCCTCCCCTGATTCCCTCACTCAGCAAGAGAGAGAGTGCGCGAGGGGCGGATGGACAGACCCGATCCCTGCTGCCTTTTCTCTCTCGCAGGGACGGAAAGGAGGGAAAGAACGGGGAAAAGAAGAGGTGGACGTTGGGTGGGAGGGAGTTTGGAGGGAGGAGGGATGGAGGGAGGTGGATACCCGTCAGAATACCCCACCACCACGGGCAAGCTGGCTAGCTGGTGGGGGTGGGGTGGGCGCTCCTGGCTGCTGGGCGACACAGACGCTGTCCTGTCCCTGCCGCAGCGGCAGCAACACCAGCAGGAGAGAGGATGAGCCGTGCCGAGGAGGAGGAGGAGGAAGAGGAGCCCCCCCTGCCCACCATGGTGCCCTCTGCCTCCTCACCGCCTTCCTTCCTTTGTCCCCCCCCCTGCTTCCCTCCCTCACTGCAGAGAGAGGGAAAGCGCGCACGAGGGGCGAGCGGGCAGAGACCCGATCCCTGCCGCCTTCTCTCTCGCCGGGATGGAAGGGGGGGTGTCTTCGGGTCAGGAGGGAAAGAACGGAGGCAAAGAAGAGATGGCAGCGGCATGTTGGGTGGGAGGGAGTTTGGAGTTTCCCCCCACACCCGCGGGAACCCCCACACACACCCTCCTCCGGCGAGTGGGCTGGCCTGGCCCCCCTCTACCCCTCTACCCCACAGTGCGGCTGAAGCACTCACCCCGTCCTGTCGGAATACACGGTGAGGGAGGTATCGCCTGTTCCTGGCTCTTGCGAATCAGTGAAACTCTCAGCGCTGATCTCTCTGCAGCAAGAAGGTCTCACTGTTTAAGGAATA